TGAAAAATGCAACAAATTTTATATGAATTTTTAGAAAGCTTTTGTGCTTTCATTTTTATAGAACATAGAATTCTAGAAAAAAGGCAGCTAAGAATTCACGCTGATTTTTGATAATTTTTTTCTGCCCGTCTTTTGCGGTATGATAAGAAAAGATATTCCTAACATTCTAACTGGTTGAATCATAAGCATGGCGAAACTAGGCTTGGCTGGAAGGTAATACTATTTGCTGATTGCAAGCTACCCTTAAATTAACTGAAGACTAGCGTATGAAATGAGACTGTCAATAAACCCATTGAAGTTCACCATTGTTCCTTTACAGAAAGGAAGGAAAGTCAGCTTGTCAAGACAAGGGCAGAAGTTGAGTTCTCAGAAGATGCGAAGTATCTAGGGGTAGGGTAACTCGGGACAAAGGGACAACTAGAACTCACATCTCTCGAATGTTACCAAAAATCTTTATGGCTATCAGAGACGTCATGGTAATGTATTGGGCCTAACTAATGTATTGGGCCTAAAGTCCGCTGTTACTGGCCTGCTGGCCAAAAGCTAAGCAAGTAGCGCGGATGCCACCCTGAACAGCTGCACCGAACAGCTCATGAGAACAAATATAACTACGATGAATTTGGTTGAGGGTGGAAGTAATAGAGTTTTCTCTAGTTTTTTTTTTGAAGCATTAAACTTTTGTGAATTTCAATTAACTAAACCTTAAACGTATATGATTGTTAACCCTTGAAATTCTAATTTTAATGCGGAACATATTACACCTTTACGTAGATTCACAATTCTGTATAAAAATTTTATTTTGTATGACAATATTAACACAGANTCCATATGCGTAATTTCGGTGCCCCAAAATTTTCCATGCGCTAACCAAAACCATATAAATCAAAGTTTCAAACTTTATACAAAATTTTGAAAAATTCAACAAATTTTATATGAATTTTTAGAAAGCTTTTGTGCTTTCATTTTTATCAAACATAGAATTCTAGAAAAAAGGCAGCTAAGAATTCACGCTGATTTTTAATATTTTTTTCTGCCCGTCTTTTGCGGTAGGACAAGAAAAGATATTCCTAACATTCTAACTGGTTGAATCATAAGCATAGCGAAACTAGGCTTGGCTGGAAGGTAATACTATTTGCTGATTGCAAGCTACCCTAAAATTAACTGAAGACTAGCGTATGAAATGAGACTGTCAATAAACCCATTGAAGTTCACCATTGTCGCTTTACAAAATGGAAGAAAAGTCAGCTTGTCAAGACAAGGGCAGAAGTTGAGTTCTCAGAAGATGCGAATTATCTAGGGGTAACTCGGGACAAAGGGCTCAATTAGAACTCACATCTCTCGAATGTTACCAAAACTCTTTATGGCTATCAGAGACGTCATGGTAATTCTTGGGGAATATCACCCAAACTAATGTATTGGGCCTAAAGTCCGCTGTTACTGGCCTGCTGGCCAAAAGCTAAGCAAGTAGCGCGGATGCCACCCTGAACAGTTGCACCGAACAGCTCATGAGAACAAATTTGGTTGAGGGTGGAAGTAATAAAGCTTTCTCTAGTTTTTTTTTTTTTTTGAAGCATTAAACTTTTGTGAATTTCAATTAATTAAACCTTAAACGTATATGAGATTGTTAACCCTTGAAATTCTAATTTTAATGCGGAACATATTACACCTTTACGTAGATTCACAATTCTGTATAAAAATTTTATTTTGTATGACAATATTAACACAGATTCATATTTATGTACATATGTATGTGCAATGTACAAAAATTAATATTTACCTGTGAAACTCATTCACATATCGCTCATTTATGTACTAAAAGACCGTCGCAACTCTTAAAACGACATTTTGAAAAAATTATGCAGAAGTACTCGTTTTATGTTTCATTTTGTGTAAAAAATTCTGGCTAAAATCATATGTAAGTAATAGTTTCCGCATATGAGACGGAGTGCAAATACATCTGTACATGTTAGGGTATACGATTATTCGCTTTTTTCCCAAAACCGATTTTCGAGTTATTCGAAAAATTGTAATTTGAAAAACCCGGTAGCCGAGTGCTTAGAGATGCCTACTGTCACCCAGGAGATCCCTGGTTCAATTTCTTGACCCAGTAACAACAGAAGTTTTTTCAAGCAGATGTCGCCCCTAGGCAGACAATGGCAAGACTGCGAGTGTACTTCTGCTATTAAAAAGCAGAAGACGACCTGGAAGAGAAGCTCGGCTAAACGCGTAGAAAGCGTTTAAGCGCCAATCAATCGTTCATTGGAATCAAATATGTAGTCATAAGCAACTACAGTCGAAAAACCTAAATTCGGGAAAAAACGCTTTAAACATTTGGATTGTAATGCTATCCTTATATCAAAAATTTAAGATTTTTATTTAACTTTCATTAAGATATCGTCGCTGGAATAATGAAGTAGTGTAACATGAAAAGTATAGTTTTGAGAAAAACGAATTAGATGTTTTTATAATCCAATCGACCAAATCTAAACTTTAATTGTGCGCTCCTTATTCAAAATATTCTTATTTTAAATACACCACACTTTTTATTGATTCCTTGGCTGCTAATTCACCAACAATTGCTGTACCATGTTTACTTAGAAATGCCATTTGAGCCCATTTTTCTGAAAGCATCTGCTGGATACACTATTTTATCTTTGAACATTTTTATATGAAATCATTGTACACAATTTTATATTGGCTGCAAACTCAGAAAAATTAATTGATGTATGTCGATGGTTATTACACTATTTGATTATTCATATTTTGAAGCTGCTAATGAAGTAAAATACTCTAACGTTATTTTAATATAAGAAGAATTTCTTTGGGATTTTCTTAATAATAGTCCAAGTGCACCATACACTATTTCGATGGCTGAGTGGAAGATCGACCTATCTCGGCAGCCAGTTCGAAAACATTCTATCTCAAAAAACTTTTCAAGAACGCCCTATTTCAGAATTTAATTGAAAAACACTCTATCTCAAAATTCGGTTCAAAAACGCCCTATCTCACTTCAATATGTATTGAAAATATTCTGATATAGGGCGTTTTTGAATCGGCAGCTTAGATAGGGCGTTTTTGAAACGAATTCTGAAATAGGGCGTTCTTGAAAAGTTTTTTGAGATAGAATGTTTTCGAACTGGCTGCCGAGATAGGTCGATCTTCCACTCAGCCATCGA